TTAATGATAAAAAATAATTGTATCCAAAAAATGATTTTGAGCGAAGACACGGATTATCTGCCTACATTACTAAGTATTTTAGATTCTGAGTGAAACGAATGTATTGATTTTACAATGATGTGAGTTTTTTTTTTTTTTTTTAATTATTTTTGTGTCTGTCAACACGGTTTGGGGCAGTAAAACTGCTTCGATTTTCTTCAACAGTATTTTGTTCGATAGGAAAGTGAATCTAGTTGGTGCATTCGGGACGTCAAATTTTAAAATTCCCAATAGTTTTCACAAGCGCCGGGGAAAACAACATAAAAATTAAGGAAAAACAGGAATATTTACTCAAAATCGGTTTTCCAAAAAATTGATTTTGGTTTTTGGTGTATCTCTAAACAAATGAACGTATATACATTACATTTTAACTGGTTGTTTATATTTACATTTTCTATACACGATAAAATGTTCAAAATATTATGATTTGTTTTGAACTGTTTAGTAACATTTTCATTTTTGGTTATTTTTCTAAAAATATCAATAAAATGTTATTTGTTGGTTAAAAAAGCTTGAAAATTGAATATAAAACTCCTAGTATATTGTTTCAAAGGTAGATGAAAAATATTAAAAATACATACTCACAATATTTTTTCATAAGCATTTAAAGATCGAATTTTGACATTTATCAAATTTAAAATTGAATAATTTTATTTTGAAGTTAAAAATTTATAAAATGTTCAACTTTTATATCTAAGGATTGAAAATTTAAAACGAAATTCCACGTAAGTAGTTTATTCTGTTGACAAAAAATCTAAAATATACAGAAGGACAGTTTATTTTAATGGTCATTTAAGTTCAAATTTGGACGAAATTACATAATAAAAAACCTAGAATAACTATTTTAGTTGTTTTGTTATGATTGTATAATATTATTCGTAAGTACTTGAAACTTCTAAAGTACACTATTATATATCTATGATAGTATCATGGTGTGTCATTGTAACGCGTTATAAGTACCTAATGGATATTGTGATATGATTAATTTGGAATTTATTATAGGTCAATTTTTTTTAATTCCATAGATTAGTATATAATATGTCTTATACCTAGACTGACATACCGTCTCCGCTCAGAATCGTTTTTCTTATACAATGATATTATATCATTGAATTCAAATTTAATACCATCCATTATACAGTGACCCCCCACTTGTAACCTACTGTACAGCAGAGCACCTTTTTTATGATATTATCGCTATTAAAGTAATTATTTTTACTATAAGTATTTATTAATACAGTAGGTTGAATTCATTTTATTCGAAAATATTCCATTTGAAAATTTTATTGTGTGCTTAAATTAAAATAATATATCCACGAATAATATTATTAAACAACAACAAAATTACGTAAGTTGTTATTCGTTGGTAAAATATATAGGCAGTTTCTTACAAATTTGAACTTAAATATATATAAAAAAAAAATGTGTAGGTATAAATATTTTTTAGATTTTATGGTTATAGTATGAACTACTTATGGCTTGTTTTAAATGTTCAATCTTTAGCTATAAAAAATGAAAATTTTATATATTTATATAAAACAATTTACCAATTTATGCAATTTTGATAAATAACTTGAAATCCATAGTAAAAACAAAAACCATGCAAATTAATCTTAAATATTTTTGAATTGATATTATTACAACTTATGAGGAATCTTGAGTTAAATATTCAAGCATTTTGACCAAACAAAAATATAAACTATAAATTATAATTATAGAAGAAAACTAAAAAAAAAAGTTTAAAACTGAAAATGTCTATACCTAAATAACTCAAAAAGGGTCAAATTGTTTTTAGTGCTATCATGTATAAAAAATATCCAATGTCATAAAAATGTTAACTTCAAACGCTCATTAATAATTTATTTAACTTTCCGCTAAACTTTTTTTTTTTGTTAAAGGTAGAAAAACTAATGAGAAATTTTATATTAAATTTTCAATTATAAGCTATTTAATATATTAAATAAAAATTGTTTGAATTTATTTAAGTGCAAAATAATTTGCAAATTTTCACTTTTTTTTATGAAATTGTCAGAATTCTAATTTTAGACACTTAATAAATTGTTTTAGATTTACGCTCTACTTTTTTTTTAATTACACTAAAAGTTAGTTCTTACTTATATAAAGAATTTTGTATTAAATATTCAAGTTTTTTGACAGGGGGAAAAATAATCGTGTAACAATAATTATTGAAGAAAAAAACACAAACATTTGTCATGTCTATAAAAAGCTATGTAAGGGAAATAGTCATATAAAGTAACTACGGCTATTAGTTTTTGAGTCACACCAAAAAACAAAATCGATTTTGTCAAAAACTCATTTACGTAAAAATTTTCCTTTCTCCTTAGTTATTTTTTTCTTTTGTTTTTCTCTACACTTTTGAAATCTAATATGAATTTTTACTTTTGACCTCTTAAATTACCAACTAGAATTTTCTTCTACCAGAAAAGATGAGAAATTCATCTCAGCTCCATGTAAACATTATTTTAGATGGTCTCTGATCGATACCTGTTTTGATGTACCTACCTAACACTAGTTGAGTAATGGATAGTCAGTTGTCATCATACGAATAATATGTTTATGGAATCGTGATCTACTGGATATTTATCATTATTGTTCTAGAATGTTACAACAATATAGAAAAACATATTTATTTTTAAGATTTTTGGTTTAAAAATAATTATGGTTTTATATACCTAGGTATATATTTTTTGCGTATTACATTTTTTGTAGGTAAACATTTTGATTAAATTTTTTTTTAGTTAAATGGTCACTTTACTAATTGTAAATATGCACTTATGTTCTATAGAGTTTTAAATATTATATACGTGTAATGTATCAGTTTTAAATTATCGTGTAAAATATTTGTTTTATAATAATTAACATCGTAATAATATTGTATGGACACGAATGTTATTTCATCAGTATAATAAATTCTACACACTATACACCCTTTTATGTATGTATAATACACCTACTTTACATATTGTCTAAAATAAGGGCCTGAGCCCCGAGGCATAGGTATAACTAAACTTTTAATTACACGGTTTATCTGGTGAATGTATATATTGCATATACCTATATGGTACTTAACTATCGTCCTACGCGTGTGTGATTTATTAGCTAGGCAACAATATCGATGAGTTCTTTATTTTTGACATTGCAAATGATGCTAATACATATTGTATATTGTATAATATTATACCAGTTATTCAAGTCTTAAAAATATTTTTAAGGCGTGTTCGTGTTTATGTTTAAGTTTTACATTTTATAGTTCTATGCAGGCATAGAACATTTGGGTATGCATATACACAAATTGTACCTATTTAATTGTGGTACAGTAGAACGATGTGTAAATATTATTACAATCAGCGTATTGCCGTTTAAAGTTTACGGAGTCAGGCAACGTTCGTATATCGAATTTAACGTTCTCGTCATGGCTGTTGCGTGGGTAAGAGATAGTTAAAAATGTATAAACTTTTTATCTAGATAAACCGCGAATTGAAATGCGAACGGGCACTTGGGAAGTTCAAAATCATGGTTAAACCCGATGAAAGTCGTTCAATTTTCTTACTATTCACTATACATATAGGTAGAAAAAATATTTGACGTTAAAATGAACGTGGGTAAATTTTAATTCAAAGTTCATTGAAGTCGGTCACGTTTACAGCTATTAATTAGTTTTGCACTGAAGTCTACAATATTTTTTTGTTATGGTTATATTATTATTACGATAGACACATAATAAGTATAAATGTTGGAGTACTCAGTAATATTTAAATTTATGGATTTTTAAAAAATTACTTAGGTATTATAAAAATATAAAATAGTTTATTCTGGTTTCAAGGATTCCAGGCCCATGAGATGGAATGTTTTAATATTCAAAGTTGACATAGCTTTATTTCCACGATTAAAACTATTATTTTTTGTTTTATGCTTTATTGTTGTATGAATATTATTTTAGTCGAATTCCGTTAATGTTTTGAAAGTTTTTAACTATGCTTTTTTCAAGATGTTTTAATTACTCAAAGAATACGCAGTTGTAATAATTGTTCTTCGTGTCCTTTTAATTATAATTATCCTTATACTTACGTAATTTTTGCACTATTGATTTTTATTTGTTCAACCCAATTGATTTGTTAAATGGAACTTACATTTTAACAAACGTATACTTAGCTAATACTTAATATTAATTATAAAATATAAATTTTTAGTTCACAAGCGTTAACAATATATTTAATTTCCTGTAAAGTATGAAGTCCATATATTATTTACTATGTTTATGGTTAAATATAATATTTATAAGAGTTTATTATATTTTTACGTATATTGATACTGTAGGTTTTATGATAAAATATACTAATCTTGTGTTTTCCATACTTTTTTTTTCTTTTCATTGAACTTAAGCCCGTTAACTATGGCCATTAGCTGTTTTTGTTGTGTTTTTTTTTTTCATAGTGGGGGATGTAACGGTTGAAACATGTTTTTAATTTTGGCAGAATTTCAAGTTGGCCACCCGTAGGTTTCTGTCATGCCAGGGTGGGGGATTGGCGGCATCTTTCTCCGGACACCGTGACTTTCCCGAAGAAAATGACACCTGTGGCCGGGATCGAACCGGCGTCGGTGCGAGTCGCAACCGACGCCTTAAACACCTAGGCCACTCCGTCCCCCTTTCCCTACTTTTCATAATTATAAACTTAAGTATATCTGTGAAACTTTACATACAATTTTTATCAATATTAAACATAAAGTTATGGTTAATAACTAATAAGTAATAACATCACCAAACTCATATTTACTTATATTAATAATTTAACTGATGTAATATTCAAAGTTGAAAGCTGTTAATGAAATTTATTGTGTATATAAAAATAAAATTGGCAATGTCAATAATTATTTGGCAAATATAATTGTCTGTACCTGCAGTATTCAAATTTATAGATGAATGTATTTTATTTTTACAGGAGAGCGGAATTGGGTTACCGGTGACTATCAAAGTAGACGAACGAGGATTTTTCTTGCATTGGATGGACCAGAAAAAAGTAAAAGCACTGCTTACTGAATATTATTGTGACCTAACCATATATTATAATGACTGCGTTTATTATTATCATATTTATTTTTTTATTTTGCTGTATTTTTTTTGTCAGGACTGTGAAGTGATTGACATGTCGACGATACGGGATACTAGGACAGGAAAATACGCCAGGGTCCCAAAAGTATTTTTATTTATTATATTAATATGTGTGTGTGTGTGTATGTCTGCGTCTGAGTGTGTGTGTAATTATAAATGTGTATGTGTATTTATACACACGCTTGTACTATGTAGGAGTATGTGTGTAGTAATATTTGATGAATGATTTTATGTCCCTCGGTTTTATTTAGGACGCGAAATTGAGAAGTGTCGTGTGTATGGGGTCCCAAGAGCCATTGGGCGATAAAACGATTACCGTCGTCGTGGCCACGGATTTTGTGAACGTGTCGTTCATTAATTTCTGTTGCAATAAAAAGCAAACGGCCCAAGTAAGCATAATATATTACATAATAATAATTATTTTTTATCACATTATCGTGATCAATATAATAATAGAATATATTGTTAATTATACTTATAATAATATATTATAAGAATAGACTTATAATATAATATATTGTTAATTATACTTATAATAATATATTTTAAGAATAGACTTATAATATAATATATTGTATACAAATATAAGCACACATATTGAACACGAGAAATAAAAAGAATTTAAGTTGATGATTTATTTACTTTTTGTTATTTTTTAAATTAAATATATATAATTCTTGAATACTCTTAAGTTTTCAGGACTAGGTAATGGAATTTCAAAAATTATATATTATTCCAATATTGCATTAATTTACATTTATTATACGTTTATAACCACTGATTATTTTCAAAATACGTGATATTAAGTAACGAGAGTAATTATTAAAAATAAACTTTTCGCACTAATTGTAGGTATGTGTATGATTTGGGAATTATACATGTTTTTAAAATATCATACTTGAAGTGGTACAAATTGTGATGATGGTTTACTCCTCAGTTATAGTAGAATACATGTAACTTCTGCAGCTGGGCTTAAATTATAAGACACTGGAAACTCACTTTATGTACTTAAATATTTTTATATTACAGTAGAATGATATTTTCTGCTTAAAAATGATTCAAAACATTTTAGATTCTGAGTGGAACGATGAATGTATTGATTTTACAATGATGTGTGTTTTTTTTTAAATTTTTAAATTTTTTTTTATTATTTTTGTGTCTGTGTATACGATTAGAAGTCGAAATAATGCTTCGATTTTCAACTTCAATAACTTGTTCGATGGGAAAGTGAATCTAGTTGGTACTTTTGGGAGGTCAAAATTTAAAATACAAAATAGTTTTCACAAGCGACAAGATTAGCAAAAGAAAAATTAAGGAAAAACGGAATTTTTACGCAAAATCGATTTTTCACAAAATTGAATTTGGTATTTGGTGTAACTTTAAAACAAATGACCGAAGACACTTGAAATTTTCACTGGTTGTTTATATTTGCATTTTCTATACACGATAACATGTTCAAAATATTTTGATTTATTTTGAACTGTTTAGGGACATTTTCATTTTCCATTTTTTTTTTAGTTTGTTTTCTAAAGATATCAATAAAATTTTATTTGTTGGCTGAAAAAGCTTGAAAATTTAATAAAAGGCTCCTTGTATATTGTTTCAAAGGCAGATGAAAAATATTAAAAATCCTTAGTCACTGTATTTTTTTCTAAGCATTTAAAGTTCATAAATTGACAAAATATGGAAAAATCACGAAAATTAGCAAATTATTTTGATAAATCTAAGGTTTTAAAATGTAATACAAGATTCCTCATAAGTTTGTCTACCTTTATCAAAAAACAATTTCTATAAGAAAGTCAAGTTAAATTTTAATGAGCGTTTAATTCAATATTCAAATTTTTACAACATTGAATATTCACTCGATTTCTCATGTAGCGATTTCCTTATTTTGTTTTAATTCAAAAACGAATAACTGTAGATACATGAAAATTTCACTGAATGTTTATATTAGCATTTCCTATACACCGTACAATTTTGAAAATATTTTGACTCTTTTTGAGCTGTTAACGGACATTTTAATATTTCAATTTTTTTAGTTTTTTTTTTCTATAAATATCAATAATGTTTTATCTGTTGGGCCAAAAAATGTAAAAATTTAATACAAGGCTCCTGATATGTTGTTACAATATCAGTTGAAAAATATTTAAAATACATAGGCACAATTTTTTTTATAAGCATACAAAGATCGAATTTTGACAAAATTTATCTAATTTAAAATTGAATAATTATTTTGTAGTTAAAAATTTATAAAATGTTCAACTTTTATATATAATGATTGAAAATTTAAAACAAGATTCCCTGTAAGTAGTTCATTCTGTTACCAAAAAATCTAATAAATACTCAAGCACAGTTTATTTTTATAGCCATTTTAAGTACAAAGTTGGACGAAATTACAGATTAAAATCAATATTAACGATTTTGGTTTTTGTTGTAATTTAAAAATATTATTCGGGGATAAATGAAACTAAAAAATCAAAAAATCAAAATATTATGGCCTATCCATACAATCTACCATACCTACTATAATGAATAAGAAGTATGCTCTATGATAAGACTGTGCATATTTTTTTTATTACCATTGATATGTTTATAATGTGTCTTAAACCTAGACTGTCTACCGTCTCCGCTCGGAATCGTTTTTCTCATACAATGATATTATATCGTTGAATTCAAATTTAATATCATCTATTATACAGTGACCCACTGGTAACCTACTGTACAGCAGAGTGACACCCACTTGCCCACCTTTTTAAAATTATATTTTTTTATAGAAAATGATAAAATAAATATTTTGTCAAAATTCTAACTTTAAAACTATTAACAATTAACGATCAACTTTTTTTAAAATTGTATAAGAAAAACGATTCTGGGCGGAGACGGTATGTCAGTCTAGGTATACGACATATTATATACATATCTATGGTACTAAACCAAAATTTGACCTATAATAGGTATCTATAATAAATTCCAAATTAATCATATCACAATATCCATTAGGTACTTATAACGCGTTATACATCAACAAAAACCGTGATACTATCATAGATATATAATAGTACACTTTAGAAGTTTCAAGTACCCACGAATAAAATTATTCAATCACAACAAAATAACTAAAATAGTTATTCTAGGTTTTTTAATATGTAATCTCGTCCAAATTTGAATTTAAAATGTCTGTAAAAATAACTGTGTTCATATATTTTCCAGAATTTTTGGTTACAGTATTAACTATTTATGAGAACCTTTGTTTTAAATTTGCAATCCTTAGCTATAAAAACTGAACATTTTATAATTATTAATTACAATGATTGATAATTTTCGAGATTTTGATAAATTTTGTCAATTTCGATCTTTAAATGCTTATAAAAAAAAAACTGTGCCTATATATTTTTAATATTTTTCAACTGACATTGTAACAATATATCAGGAGCCTTGTATTAAATTTTTACATTTTTTGGCCCAACAGGTAAAACTTTATTGATATTTATAGAAAAAAAAACTAAAAAAATTTAAAACTGAAAATGTCCGTAAACAGCTCAAAAAGAGTCAAAATATTTTCAAAATTGTACAGTGTATAGGAAATGCTAATTTAAACATTCAGTGAAATTTTCATGTATCTACAGTTTTTCGTTTTTGAATTACAACAAAATAAGGAAATCGCTACATGAGAAATCGAGTGAATATCTAATGTTGTAAAAATTTGAATTTCAAACGCTCATAAAAATTTAATTTGACTTTCTTATAGACATTTTTTTTTTGTTAAAGGTAGATAATCTTATAAGGTATCTTGTATTACATTTTAAAATCTTAGATTTAAAAAGAAAAATTTTTACGAATTCTTAACTCAAAATAATTTGCTAATTTTCGTGATTTTTCCATATTTTGTCAACTTTTGAACTTTAAATGCTTATAAAAAAAAACTGTGACTAACGATTTTTAATTACAATATACTAGGAGCCTTCTATTAATTTTTCAAATTTTTTTAACCAACAAATAAAATTTTATTGATATTTCTAGAAAAAAAAACTAAAAAAAAATGAATAATGAAAATGTCCCTAAACAGTTCAAAATAAATCAATATTTTGAAAATGTTATGGTGTATAGAAAATGCAAATATAAACAACCAGTGAAAATTTCATGTATCTACGGTCATTTGTTTTAAAGTTACACCAAAAACCAAATTCAATTTTCTGAAAAATCGATTTTGCGTAAAAATTCCAGTATTTCCTTATGTTTCTTTTGTTTTTCTTGGCGCTTTTGAAATGTACCGTGAATTTTAAATTTTGACCTCCCCAATGCACCAACGATATTCACTTTCCAATCGAACAAGATACTGAAGTCGAAAATCGAAGCATTATTTCGACTACTTATCGTGTACACAGACACAAAAATAAAAAATTAAAAAAAAATAAGATAAAAACACACATCATTGTAAAATCAATACATTCATCGTTTCACTCAGAATCTAAAATATTTGACTGTTTTCGTGATTTTTATGGACATTTAAATTTTTTGAACATTTTAGGTTTTTTTATGTGAAAAAAACAATTTTCTCCGAGTTAAATAACTTTAAAATTTAACACAAGTCTCCTCATAAGTTGTTATAGTAAATATTTCAAAAATATTAAATATACAAAGGCACTATTTTTTTATAAGCATTTAAAGTTGGTTTTAGACAAAATTCATCAAAACGAAAATAAAAACATTGCAATATTATTTTAATTTCATGGAATATATATTTATTTTTACTTTAATAATAACATGCACCTAGATTATACTCAATAAATGACAATTATATTCTTCATTATACCGTAAAGGATAATAGGAAAATAAGTTGAAAACATCAGAGGTATTGGATGTCATAAAGCAGTTGTGGTGCATTACAATAGTTATTCATCATCTAATTAACACATGGTAGTATTATAAATGTAACTATATAATTAGAATTATAATTTCCAAAGTAACGTGGGTATTAATTAGGTATATACGATGACCAGATAACAGGGCGAGGGAGTGTTGGTCAGTCTGAGTATTACGTTACAGTATTACAAATTTGTTGTGTTACCAATAGAAAAATTATGTCGATGAATTACAAACTGATTTGTTAATGAAGTGTTTTTAAAATTTGTTTAAACAGTGTATTCTTAGATTATTCGTATAGGTATGCGAAAGTGAAAACAACCCTAAAATTAAACTTCAAATTGAATGGCTATTTTGTCATTGTTTACTAAATTATAATAATTATCCTTTTGTTTTACTTCCTATTAGTTATTACTTGTATAGTTTGTCTCTAATTACTGTAAATTAGTTACGTCTAGTGTATACCATAGATCTTAGTAATAACTGAAGTGGACTGGATAGAAATTCATCGATGCCGTTTTCTTAT